AAGCAGCTTTAGCCCAAGACCACCAGTAAGGTGATAAAGCGTCCTCCCTTCCCCCCTTTACATCTACACCCCTGTTTAGCATGAAGAAGCCAGAGAGTCGGCATCCAATTCCCAAATCAACAAGACAGTTGGTTTAATTACCATTGGAAAATGCTCATCTGGTCCCCACTGGACCCTCATCATTTCCTTCACCTGCTCCCCCCACCGACCAAACTGCAGCTCTGCAGCTGCATCCTGGCCCACCCTCACCCTTCTGCCCCCAACCCTCACCTCCTTGTACCCCCAATATGTTTTTCCCAATAAAAAAAGAAAAAAAGAGAGAAAACAAAGATTCTCACCACTGGGCTAATTGGCAGCATCATGATAGATAGTGAAGAGATTGAAAGTGTTAACAGCTTCAGTTTGCTTGGCTCTACAATCAACACTCTTGGTACCAGCAGCCAGGAAATTAAAATATGAATCACACTGGGAAAAGTCTGCTGTTAGAGACCTCTCCAAAGTAATGAAGAGTAATGATGTCAGTCTGGAGACTAAATACAGGTCATGGTCTAATACACCTAATACAGGTCATGATCTTTGTAATTACTTGTTATGCATCAGAAAGTCGGACAATGATTAAGGATGATAGAAGAATTGATGCTTTTGAGCTGCGGTGCTGGAGAAGAGTATTGTATATACCATGGACTGCTAGAACAAATTAGTTCATCCTGAAGAGTGAAGCCAGGCTGCTCCCTAGAGGCAATGATTCTGAAACTTCATCTGACATACTTTGTACATGTTGCAAGGCAGGATCAGACCTTGGAGGGGGACGTCATACTTAGGAGGGTGGAGGGACAGCACAAGAGAGTAAGACCCTCAATGAGATGGATTGATCCAGTGACTGGGGTAATAGGGGTAGGTGTTTCAGAGATTGGCACAAGATAGAGCAGGGTTAAGGGCTGTTGTACATAGGGTTACTACGAGTCACAGGTGACAGCACATAACAAATCTATATTTGAAATTTTGTAAATAAACTGGTTGTTGTTGTTATGTGCCATTGAGTCACTTGCAACTCATAGCGACCCTATGTACAAGAGTCCTAAACACTGCTAAATAAATATAAAATAAATTTTTAAAAAATACCTTAGTTAAGAAAACCTACAGACTGGGAAAATACATTTGGTAATTCCATCTCAGACAAGAGTCTTATAACAAAAGTTTACAGTATATTCCTGGGCCTCCACAAGAAAAAGACTGATAATCCAATTGCAAAATGGGCAAAAGACATGGAAAGAATTTTTCACAGCGGAAGATATTCAAATGGCAAACAGACACATGAAGAAATGCTCCAAATCTCTAGCTATAAGAGACATGCAAATCAAAACCACATGAGATATCATCTCATTCCAGTAAGAGTGGCAAAATTTAGCAGGGCAGCAAGTAATAAATGCCGGAGAGGATGTGGCGAGAAAGGAACTCATACATTGTTGGTGGGATTGTAAAATGGAGCAACCATTCTGGAAGGCAGTTTGGCGTTTCCTCAAAAAGCTGAACATAGAAATTCCATTTGACCCAGCTATTCCACTACTAGGAATACACCCTGAAAATATAAGAACTGAGACACAAACTGAGATTTTTACACCAATGTTCACAGCAGCATTAGTCACTATTGCAAGAACATGGAAACAGCATAAATATCCAACCACAAACCAATGGATTGAGAAATTATGGTACATTCACACAATGGAATACTATGCAGCCCGCAGGAGCAATAACTTTGTAAATCACTACCTAATTTGGAAGGGACTAGAGAGCATTATGCTGAGTGAACTAACTCAGTTACATAAGGATAATTATTACATAAAGCCATTATTGTAGAATAAGGATACAGGAGGGGTGGGAGAGGCTGGAAGCAGAGGAATGTGGATGTGCAGGGGAAAGGGGATATTAATCATTGGGTTGTACAATTTGATGGGTGAAGGGTGAGGGAAATTGAAAGAATGTGTTCAAATTTGTATTTGAATTTTGTAAATAAACTAGTTGTTGTTGTTGTTGTTACGTGCTGTTGAGTCGCTTGCAACTCATAGACCCCTATATATAAGAGCCCTAAACATTTCTCTATCCTGTGCCAACCTCGCTCTCAGACAGAGTCACTCCTACCATTCCAATCACAGAATCACTCCATCTCATTAAGGGTCTTCCTCTCCTGCGCCATCCCTTCACTCTCTGAAACATGATGTCCCTCTCCAAGGACTGGTCCCTCCTTGCAACATGCCCAAAGTATGTCAGATGAAGCTTCAGAATCCTTGACTCCAGGGAGCAGTCCAGCTTCACCCTCTCCAGGACAAACCTATTTGTTCTCTTAGCATATTCAACACTCTTCTCCAGCACCACAGCTCAAAGGCATCAACTCTCTTTCTATCATCCCTAGTCACTGTCCAGCTCTCCAATGCATAGCATGTAATTGCAAAGACTATAGCCCAGATCAGGTGGCTTAGTCTCCAGCCTGACATCATTGCTCTTCAGTACTCAATAAGTCCCTGACAGCAGACTTAGAAACAAAACAAAACAAAACAAAAAACCTGTTAGGCAAACAGTTACCACGGGAAGAGGAAGACTTAAAGGTAGTTTGGGGTGATTAAAGAGGTTTGGAAAGATAGTAGTAATGGTTGAATACTATATATATATATATGTTGTATACTTTCAGAGAAGTCAAATGAATTTCCATAATCTGAAGGAAATTAATTTTAAAACAAAGCAATTCACAGTGATGGGCTACTGCTGTGTACAACTCAGAACAAACTCATGGCTGACCCTTCAAGTGGGTTTTTCAGAGTGGCTGGCGGATTCAAACCACATTCCTTTGAGTTGGCAGTGCAAGTCCTTCTCACTAAGCCATCAGAACTCCCTAAGATGGTAATGAAGAATGGAGAGCTGTGGCTGACTCCTGGGTTTGTTCTTGTTATCTTCTCCTTCACCCTCCCCTTCACTTCTGCCTCATTTTCCTCTATTATTGTTATTATATTTTGATAAAACAAACTATAAAGGGTTTAAGAAAAGGAAGATTAAAAAAAAAAAAAGAATGGTCATCACTGCAACACAACTTCAAAATAAATTTTTATTGTATTTAAAGCATCTCTTAAAATTACAGCATGTTTCTTTTTATGCTGTTAATTATGCCAAACTACAACTTAAGCCATATGAAGCATAAAACACTTCTGAAATCTAAAAGTAAAAAGATTTTATAAACAAAAAAGCAGAGTTAATTTTAGATGCCAATGCATTTTGTCCAACTATATTTATACAAAAAAATTTATTATTTCTGTAGAAAATAGTTGTAATAATGTCATAAACTGCTCCAATTATATAAATATGATTGTATATATAACTACTATGGTTGGCAAAAGTTGACCAGAGAAATAAGTAAAATTCTTCTTTTTAAAGACCTTAAATCTTACCTAAAAAGTGACAAGTATTGTATTTTCAAAATCTTTACTGTTTTTCCTTCTCTGGGCAAATTAAACAAACTTTAGATTTCCCAACATTAATGAGTGCTTCTTTGTTGTTTAATTAAAATCATATTTGAAAAGAAATAATTTAGAGGAAATTCTGAAACTAAACAAATTCAGATGTAATAGTCTCTCATAAACTTGCTTATCAGTGCTCCAAGCTTAAATTCTATCAGATTACAAACAAGTCTTCAACTATTACAAATATAAGAAAAAAAAAAATCCCTCAAGATTTGTAATTTACTGTATAGAGGAATTACATTTTTAAAATCTGTCCTCACCATAAACATTATTTGTTATTCTATCTTTTCTTGCACTGTCACTACTTGTCAAGGCATTTACATGCTTCTGCTTCCCCATGGCTACAAAAACTATGTACTGGAACACATTAGAATTTTTAAATAATGACGCATATTCTTTTATATAATGTTTAAGCTGCCTCACTTTATGAAGAAAAAGAACAGTGAAGGATCCCAATTTCTCTCTAAAATGACAATGTTTACTCCAATTAAGCAATCTATAAATTACTATGCTATGCATGTTATTTAATTTCTGCTTAAAAGAAACGTTAATGATCAAGGGTTACATCATATAGAGATGAACCACTCAGAGCTCTTGATTTTTCTCCTTATATTTAAGTGTGTACGTAAGTGATGTTTAGTAACTTTGCTATTTGGGAAAATGGTTTAAAACCATACAACCTAACACTTGTAATTAAAAGTAATCTAGAAGCCTATTTATTTGAATAGCTAATATTTTTCTTCAATATTTAACTGACAGCTAAATTTAGTGACCACAAAATAGCTTGGTGTGTTACTCTGAAGTAAAGCAAGAAGATGGCTTTATGCACTGAAAAGAAAAATAGAGGTCTCCACTAAATAAGTAGTATAATTACAATTTAGTGTTTGCTAACAAAAGATCTAAAAACAGTTCATTACCAAACAATTCTGCAGGTGTCTCATTTATTAATAAAAATCTGCCGTATCTCATTACAGGGCCCATAATGTGTCTTTTAATGTTACCAACTACCATGTTACTTAGACTTTGCAAGGTTAATCACTCAATTTCAGCAAATGATAAATATGAAATGTGCAAATGTTAACAAGCTAGGGATAACAAGTGCTTTTAAACACGGTAGTTTTAAAAGCCCCAAAACACAGAATAAGACTGATTTTATACCAATTTTGAAAATTCTGAGCTACTGTACATCTTACAAACATTCTCAAATATCCAACTTTTTCCAAGTCCAGTTTCTTTGAACATCTTCCAAAATAACTTCCATTCTCTAGCCTTTCTAGGCCAACCATTTTGCAATTTAAAAATACCTATCTTACATACTTAAACTTGTTTGCTTCAGTGTTTACAGTATCGTTAAACATATTAATATACATTGTTTAAAATGATCTTATAAATAATCTATTTCACTTTCTTTGGCTATGTGTACCATTCTGATTTTTTCACACAAATGTCTTACTCAGAAAGTGCTTTCTGTGAGAACTGCTTCTAAAGAATGCATTAAACTTGCAAAATCTAGCTTCCCACAAAATATCATTTTCTACCCTGTACTGTGCGGTCTTATATTTACAAAATATTTAAACTTTACATCAAATCCATTTCCATATAAAAAAAGTGCAATTATCTTTCACCCCATATTGTGGGGCAATAACATTCTTCATCAATGTCTACAGAATAGCAGCCTAAGATAAGCAGATAAGGTGCTTAGCTTATGCCCAAGGATCTACTTTTTAAGTATGCCGGGCAGTACTTTTGTACAGTGGAACAGTCAGTGTTTCGGCTACTGGCAGAGGGGTGCTCCTGTTAGGTTGGCAAGCTCAATGAGGGCCAGGGCCCCGTGCAGCCGCTCGCGCTGCTCCTGCAGACGGCGCTGAGCCCCACTCTTCTCATCATCATCCTCATCAGACTGAAGGTATTCCAGAGGGTCCTGTTGCTCTTGGTCAGCCTTCTGAGTAGACTTCCCTTTCAAGGCAGGAGTACGCTGTTCTCTTGTTTCCCAATACCTGCATGAAACACATTTGCATTATTTATATGGCATAAATTGTCAAATATTTATTAATCATTAAAAAACCCCATTATTTCATGTGCTAAAGTTATAAAGTGATTTCATATACATATTATTTCCCACTTACAGAAGGAAAAACATCCCTGAAGTTCAAAGAAATTGAAGATCTTACGCTGGTATCCATAATCAAATAATGACAATTCTGAGTTTCAATTCTCTAATTGTGTTTTTGCAACTAAACTACAGTAATCTTGAATATTATGAACTAGAGGAAAATATAGAAAGAATTAAAAAAAAAAAGTTCTTAGAAACCTATTTATCCTATCCAGAGAGAGAAAACGTTCTAAGGACTGAAGACAGAAGCATTCAAGAAGGAAGAGTTACAAAAAAAATGTAAACCCACAAACTGTGGTATAAGTATATTCCTTAACAGAGCTTATAAAAGAAAAATAATCACATCACCACTGCTTAGCAAATGCCCAATACCTTTGGTAACTAACATTTCCATACTAAAATTTGTACACAGATGCTTTATTTTTAATAATCAAAACAAATATCCATCAATAAATAATAAAAATGAGGTGAACCTATACTGCAGAATGCTGCTCAACAGTAAAAAGTAATTGACACAGATTAATCTCAAAATAATAATGTGTGAAAAAAGCCAAGCTAATAGGCATACATATTGTTTGACTACAAAAACTGGAAAAATGCAGAGAACAATTTTTAGAGGCAGAAATCAGATCAGCAGTTGTTTAAGAAAAAAGTCTGAAGACGCTGGAGGGATAGAATACAAAGGAGAATTAGGCAACTTCTGAAAGCTGTTCACTATCTTGATTGTAGTTATGGCTTCATGGAGGAAACACGTATCAAACATATAAAATTGTGCTCATGTGGTTTCTTACCAAATTTCAGAAAATCTGAACTATTCAAAGTAGAAAAATTTAGGAATACATTGAAGAATGAACAAAAAAATGTAAATAGTCCAGTACAACATGAAGAACAATGATAAAAGATAAGTTTAGTGAGCAGTAAAAAGTCTAAGGGGTAGAATTTCTGTTGCAATGCAAATAAATTTTGCTTAGCTTAAATAATCAAGTCATATTTCCACTTTCCATGATCTAGTCCTTATGTACTTTATCCAAGTGTAATACAGCATTTACTCATTCAACAATTTAGCAAAGTAATAAGCTATTCTATGCCCTGCAGATAGAGAAGGAAACGAGACAGACAAATGTGATGCTCACTATCCTGGAGCACTGGTTTAGAAGGGAGAATAGACAATGAACAACTAATAAGTGTGTAGTAGATATTATGAAAGGGGAAACACATTATGTCATAAATGCATCTATGGGGAGTTAAAAAAACATAAAAGGTGTACATCAGAGATGCATCCTACTGGAGTTAAAAAATCATAAAAGGTGTACATCAGAGATGCATCCTACCTTCATACCATTTCAATTTACATGCAGAACAGATCATTCGTGTGGCTGGACTTTGAGGAGGAATGTGTCATCAGGACTGGAAGAAGACTCATCAACCTGCGTTATAGAGATGACTCAACCTTGCTTGCTGAAACTGAGGAGGACCTGAAGCATTTGCTGCAGAAGGTCAAGGACTGTAGACTTCAATATGGATTGAAGCTCACTATCAAGAAGACAAAGATTCTCACCACTGGACCAACTGGGAGCATTATGATAGACGGAAAAGAGATTGAAATTGTTAATAATTTCAACTTGCTTGGTGCCACAATCAACACTCTTGGCACCATTATCAAGAAATCAAAAGATGAATTTCACTGGGAAAATGAAGTATCAGGGACATTCCCAGAGTGCTGAAGAGTAAAGATGTCAGTCTAGAAACTAAGGTGCACCTGATCCAAGCCATGGTCTTTGTATTTACTTGGAATGCATGAGAGAGCTGGACAATGACTAAGGGTAACAGAAGCATTAATGCCTGTGTTATAGTTCTGGACAAGAGTATTGAACATAACATGGACTGACAAGAGAATAAACAGGTCTGTCCTAGGAGAGTGAAATCAGGTTGCTTCTTGGAGGCAACGATTTTGAAGCTTCATCTCACATACTTTGAGTATATTGCCAGGAGAGACCAGTCCTTGGAGAAGGACCTAATGCTTGGAAAGTGGAGGGACAGCGCAGGAGAGAAGACCCCAAAGGAGATGGACTGACACAATAACTGGGTTAATGTGGGTAGGCATGTCAGAGACAGTGAGACTGGCTCATGGTAGGACAAGGTGAACCTGAACAGTTACTGTACATAGGGTAACTATGAGTCACAGGCAACTCAACGGCACATTAACAGTAACGTTGGAGTCTAATCTTTAAGAGTCAAGAAATAAACATACTGCATTGGGAAATTGTACTGTAAAGGATCTCTTGAAAATGCTGAAGAGCATTCACCAGATGCTCTGCTGGAGAAGGAGGAACACTCTCCTCTTGTACCAGTCAGATCTGATTTGACAGTACACACACAAAATAAAAAAATAAAATAAAATAAATGCTGAAGAGCTTTAAAATGTCAGTTTAAATTGCTTTTCAACTGCTTTACATGCATTTGAAAACTAGGCAAAGAATAAGGAAAACCAAAGAAGAATCGATGCTTTAAACTGTGGTACTGGTGAGGAACATCAAGTATACTATGGACTACTAAAAGAAAAACAAATAAATGTATCTTAGACAAAGTATTCTTCAAAAGCAAAGATATTGAGACTTCACCTCACATATTTTCGGCATATTATCAAGAGGGGCCACCCTTTAGAAAATGACATCATGCTCGAGAAAGTAGAGATTAAACAAAGGGGAAAACCCTCAATGATGCAGAATGACACAATAACTATAACATGGATTTAAGCACTAGTTTTTGATGTTTTACATAGGATTGCTATGAGTCGAATTCACACAAAAACACCTAACATTAATCTTATTTTAAGAGATAATGAGAAAGTCACAGAAAATCTTTCTAAAGTGATGTTCAACTTGAGCGAGACATGAAGGGTGAGCAAAGAGGGGCCAAAGGACATGACCATTGCCAGCATGAGGCAGTGTGTACAAATAACCCCACACTGCAGTGACAGGGTGCTGAGACCCAAGAGGATCTAGAGGTGTGGCTGCAGGCTGGCACATCATCAGAAGTTTACAGAGTAAATGCAGCACAGTTATGGATTTGGAGCTTTATCCTAATTACAGAGGAGGTCAATGAAGCTGGGCAGTAATAAAATCATTGCTGGCTTACATACACAATAGAACCAAAATCCTCTGCTGCAGAATCAATTCTAATTCATAGGACCTTCCTTTGGGTTTTCGGGGGTGTAAATCTTTATAGGAGAATATCTATCTCTTTCCTACAAAACTGTTGTTGGATTTGAACTGCCAGATACAAGGCCTTTTGATTAGCAGCTCAACATGCTATGTACTATGTCATCAGATAGTCTTACATACACATACGTTTTATTGCCATGTACATTAAGTTGGAACAACTCATAACTGATTGACTCTCCAATGGATTTTCAGAGGCTATAAATTGCAGGAGAAAGCCTTTTTCCTGTAGAGCAGTTGGTGGATTGGTGGATTCAAATGGAATAATGCCTTTGGGCTCAACTCCCACCACTAAGCCACCAGTGCTCCCTTCATATACACATGTTGTAGCGGGTACCACTAAGTCGAATACAACGCATAGTAACCCAATGAACAATAGAGTTAAACCCTGACCTGTGCCTCCTCACCACCTATGATACACTTAAAAATACTGCTGTAGTCACCATGTCAATCCATCTCAATGGGGATCTTCCAACCTTCCAAGCATAACACCCTTTTCCATGTAGTATATTTTACAGTTGGTCAAAGTATGAGATGAAGCTTGGTCATTGTTATCTCCAAGGAGCACTTCAGCTGCATCCTTTTCTAAGGCATACCTGTTTGTTCTTTTGGCAGTCCAAGGGGTATTCAAGACTCTTCCTCAACAGTACAACTCAAAGGCATCAATTCTTCTTCTATCATCCTTATTCACCATCCAGCTCTCAGATGTACAGCAAATAACTGAAAATACCATGGTCTGAATCAAGCATGTCTTGGTCTTCAGACTGACGTCAATGCTTGTCAATATTTTGGAAAGGATCCATATTTATCCAAAGCAATACATCTCTTTATCTCTTAACTACTGGTACCAAGAGTATTGATTGCAAACAAAACAAGATGATATCATTAACAGTTTCAATCCTTTATCTATCATGACATTGCCCACTGGTCCAGTGGTAAGGACCTTTGCCTTCTTTTTTAAAATTTTATTTTATACGGATTTATTTATCAAGTTAGAATATATTGTGTGAATGTACCACAATTTCTCAATCCATTTGTTTGTGGTTGAACATTTGGGCTGTTTCCACGTTCTTGTGATAGTGAATAATGCTGCTATGAACACTGGCGTACAAATCTCCATTTGTGCCTCAGTTTTCATTTTCTAAGGATATATTCCAAGTAGTGGAATAGCTGGGTCATATGGAATTTCTACGTTCAGCCTTTTGAGGAAGTGCCAAACTGCCTTCAAGAATGGTTACACCATTTTACAAGCCCACCAACAATGTATAATAGTTCTTCTCTTGCCATATCCTCTACATTTATTACTTGCTGCCCTGTTAAACTTTGCCACTGTTACTGGAATGAGATGGTACCTCATTGTGGTTTTGATTTGCATTTCTCTTAGTGCCAGTGATTTGGAAAATTTCTTCATGTGTCTGTTTGCCATTTGAATATCTTCCTCTGTGAAAATTCTTTCCATGTCTTTTGCCCATTTTGTAAATGGAATACTATGCAGCATGAAGGAGCAATGATTTTGTAAATTATTACCTAACTTGGGAGGGACTGGAGAGCATTATGCTAAGTGAACTAACTCAGTCCCATAAGGATAAATACTGTATAAAACCATTATTGTAGAATGAGTATAAGGATCCAAGAGGGGTGAGAGAGGTTGGAAGCAGAGGGA